CACTCCAAAATTGCAACGTTTCCGCAGTTTTAAGTATATTTAAGTATAACACAGGCAGAACAAGTAATACATTTATTATTTCTGAATAATTTCTATCTCTGAATGATATCATACTGACGAGTTTAAAAAGAAAGCGACGAATTATTGTATACGGTTTGGTCACTCGTTGTTCGGCCTTATCGAACACAATGGGGATGAAATTCGTACCGCGAAGGACAAACTCGTCGAACCAGGGGAAGCAATTTTCTAATTTCTAATTTCTCGACGGCAGGGATCTCCCCTGACTCTGTCTTTCATGTCCTTCGTCACTTTCTATCTTCTATTGTAGTCATACCGTACTACCAATTCCAAGGCTCGGTAAGTTTCTTCATTACAATGGTCCCCCATCACGAACGAACTCGAAAAAGAGATGCGAAAAATAAATTCATCGAGCCAAGAATAAAACTTCCAGATTCACTATTTTCTCCACAGCAGGGATTTCCCTTGACCGTACTTCATGTTTCTTCCTTACTTTTATTTCATTGTTGTGTAGTAGTCATGCCCGACTCTCAATTCTAAGGCTAATGTAAATGTCTTTGTCGCAACTTTTTTACGACATCCAAGACACATTGCGAGGGACACATGCTGGGTCCATTAGAAAGTGCAAATACTACTTTCTGGGACCTATCTCGCTCACATCTGGAAGCAATTAGCATACCTCCTTAATCCCGTAGAATCCACAGCTATATAAGACCCACGCACAAGGAAAATAGACAGCCTACGCGCAGGTTTTTTGAAACTTTTCCTGCGAACCCTACTACAGGTACACAACAGTTAGCAACAACCATAGAAACATCACTCATCCAATAATCACATTATAAATACAGAAACTCCGTCCAAAAGGCATATGATTTTAGTCACCCTAACCCCTTCATCCGTGGCACTGGCAATTGAAAACCTTCCACTCAACCTTCCACACACTGCCCAAACATGTTAATCTCACATAGACCAAAAACTACCACAAACCACAGCTCACAACTTTTCCTGCATACACAACCTCAACAAACTGGCCGCACAAACGTCAAACAACATTACCATACTACACTGATCATTCTAAATGCAGGTTAAAGGGCACTGCAAGCCCAAGGTACTGCAGACAAGACATCCTGACTAATTAAAAAAAAAAAAAAAAAATAGACAGTTAATATTTTTTGGCAATCGCGCAGCTCGCACAGAAGTTACGGAGCAACCCATCGACGTACGACAGTTCACGGTTCGACTATCAACACTCATTCAAATCTTATCATTTACGAAAAATCAAGCTCTCTTACGACAATTTACATTCCAACCCCAAAACAACACTCTCTTGAATCAGCTGCCACTTTCATTAACGTTGAAAGACAACAAGCCACCGATCTGCTCAACGCTCCGTATACGTCGAGGTTTGATCGGCACAGCAACACTCGTTATGGTCCGCAATCAGTTGCCAGCGCAAGTGGTTAATATAATTTGGAAGGGGAAACGACATTTCAATATGAGTTTTGAATTTTAGTTCATTAAATTGAAAACTAATAAATGTAACAAATTACGATAACCGATGCTCTGATCTAAAAAGGATCAGTAGCTATAAAGCAAGGATTTCGAAATCAATAAACAAGTATTTGTTTAAATGAATGTCTTGTTTATGATATTTCTGTGAAATTGTATGTGGTACTATTATACTTTATTTATTTTAAATAAAAAAAGGAGTGATCTATAATTCATAATTTGTGAATTTACATATTATTATTAATAGATTATAGACTTTCATGCATTTATAGGAAACTTCAAATTATTACACATACTGTAGAAAATATCTAAAGAGCAGCACTAATATTTATCTGTTTATCTATAATAATATCTATACATGAAATAATTTTCTATCAAGGTTCTATGCTTTTTTCATATTTTCAAAAATACAAATTGCACGAAAATCTTAATTTAATTGTTGTACAATAGTCATATCAATACCCGAATTTTAGAATGATAGTTTTCATTACAATTTTGGAACAAAAAAGAAGCAAATCAGGCAAATACGAAAATACTTCAGTTTGTCATAAACAATTCTGAAAACAATTACTTGCTGGTAAAGAAAGGATCAAGTTATACTGAAAACAGAACATCTTTGTACTCTTACAATTTCAACAGAAACAGAATTATTTTTGAAACTATGTTGTCGCACGTGCTAGACTGCGACTTAATCTGTACCAATAAAATAGCAAAGACGAAATTTGCGCCTCTGTCTCTTGTCCGTGGCTAAATATTTCAACAGCACGTTAAGAAAGGGGTACCAAAGCGCTTCTATCTGTGTTAATATTTTTAGTTACAGTCGGACACGCAATCACCGACTGTACTCGCGTGGCATCGCATACACTGGCATTCAAAAGTCTATAATCCTTAGCGACTAAAAATTCATGAGCTTCTGGTTCACCTTGTGGAACCAGATCGTGTACTATCTGCATGTTATTTGCACATATTCATCACATACGTATTTGAATACAGGGGAGGATAATGAGCGCATTTGCATATATTTTATTTTTGTAATATATTAACTTGAGGTTATGATCTTATTTTCTCGAATGTTTCTGATTTTTTTGATTGTTAATGAAAAAGTATAAAAATTTTGATGATGGAGTTGTAAGTCTGTGCGAACACTTGAAGAAATATGCACGCTCTGATAAATTTGGAGCAATGATTAAAAAGATTCGTTAATCCTTGATTTATTGAACTGTGAATCTATATTTTTACACACACAGTTTAAAGTGTAGAATTTAAATGGATTCTTCCTGTCTATTTTGAATATTTTATACGCTTCTGTACATTATATTCACTGATATATGAAAATCTGCAGTCCAATAATAACAGTTTATTGATATTGAAACTATTGGAAAATAATTTGTATACGTTTTAAAACGATAAAATATTTTTTTATATTATTAATATGTTTGTTTGTTTTGTGTTGAAATATAAATATATTTCTAAATCATCTTAGACTTAACTTAGCTTATGTATATCTTAAAATCACCTACATGTATAATGCTCTTAATAGAACTGAGGTAGCTAGTAGCTACTAGTAGCTATTTTAATATACTCATTAAATCTACTACGTAATGTAATAAAAATAACAGATTTAGTTTTATTACTACCGCAAACATTTATGCAAATATTTTTATGAATGTAATTTAAAAGACATAAACTGGTAAATGTCATTTAATATTTTTAAATATTATCACATGCATTTTGCACTATACTTTTGTACTTAAAAATTTCCTGTAAGTGTCTGTAACACAATAATGAAGTTGATGTGCCAATTAATTTCAGATTTCTCCCCTTAAGGATTCAAAGCAAAATTTTATACAAACTTCTTTTCCGATGATAAAGGAAAACGTACATAATTATATAAAGAAAGGAAATACTTTATTCAAAAAATAAAATTATTGGGCTAGATATTTGTAACGAATGATATGTCATTTTTATCAGTTGTTGCAATTTATATGTAACTATAAAAAATATATACAGACACGTTGTTACACCAATTGATGTAAATTCAAATTTTTCTAATTTGAGTTAATAACATTTTTCAAGCGTTGAAGGCACTGTATGTTTGGTTTCATGGCCAACTGGTTGTTACAACTTCATTCGTTACTGAGAAATGACAGTACTTCATGTTAACCAAGAAAGCAATAATAGTAAACATATCACAAGAGTGATTCTCAGTTCTTCGATCATGCACGCTCTTTTGATGGCGATAAATCAAATCTTCAACGCTTAACGAGTGAATAAACTTTAACGATTTCTGCCAAGTGTATAAACTTAATATTCTTGACGTTCGGTCAGTCGATATGTATAGCGAAATTTTGATGAACTCCCCATAGAGAAGAAGAGAATTCTCGAGCGTAATGTTACGCCGTTCGATTGTATTTCGACACGTAACGTGATCTAGAAACAGAGCCATTATTATAATTCATCCGTTGCCAGAGTGTCATAGATAATTGCGCTTACCGATTGCTGTGCAGTTGCGTTAACGTAATAATAAATCGAATTGAAGGTCTTTCTCAACAGCACGTATACACATTTGCGTATAAAATTAAAATTCACTGTTATCGAATAACTGCTTTAAGAATCACTGCTTATTCCTGTTCAGAGTTGTCGATTTTAGGCAATACATTGGATAAAAAATTGTCAGCATTAGGTTATCATTGTAAAGTTATTATAGAAATAAATTAGATTAGAAATCATTAGGTTAGTTGTTATAGAAGATTTTGAAATTTTTCTTTATATCTGTTTGGTCATGTTTCGAGACAACATAACTTTTGTACAAATTATATAAATTATTGTACGTTTTTCACAGTGTATATCACTTTTAACTCTTTAAATATCTAGTATCTGGAGTATCGTACAAATAATCTTATAATGAATAATGAAATGTTTGATTTACTCATAAGAGGTTCAATTCTTAATTTGTTATCTATGTCGTTCTCAATTTCTTATATTCTTCTTTCTCTTCATTCGATATTAAACTTTTGGTGCTTTCAAGCACTTAAAAGATCAGTAGTCACGATTGTGCTTTCATTTATTGTATGCATTCATTTCAAAGAAGAAAATCAAAGATGAATATAATTTGTACGAAACTAATTACTTTGTAAACTGGGAGAAGCAAAAAGAAAAAATTTTTTTTTAGCAAAATGGCAGCTGTATAAAGCAGAAATTCATCTCGATGTTTGCAGCGCATGCTATTCTTGACAACTTGCCCGAATCTTTCTAGTACTACACACTAGATGTAGCACACTGTGGTTGAACTGAATCAGCACCGAGGTTGAGAGTTGGCATTCACCATTCGAAGGTTAATAACACGATTTGCAAACGAAAACAATATCCATTCTGAAAAAAAAGAACTATCGTTATATTCTACATAATGTAATATCTATGTAAATAAATATTTCATATCGCGAGTCTAATTGAAGTTTATTTTATAATTTCAGACTGCACTTAGTATTTTCTTCCAAGAAGCTGCGATACCTCCCTGCGCGCAAGGACCTGGAACACATTTTGGCCAGGTAAGTCTACTCGTTTCCAATACCAATTATTGGTATAGAGTGCAGAAATCTATGATATGCATAAGTAATCATACAACATAAATAATCGTAAATTTCAAGATAAATATTAAAAAATATTAATATTATTATAAATATTATAAATATTAAAAAATATTAATATTATTATAAATATTATAAATATTAAAAAATATTAATATTATTATAAATATTAAAAATATTAATATTATAAATATTAAAAAATATTAATATTATTATAAATATTAAAAAATATATTATTATAAATATATTATTATATATAAAATATATTATATAATAAATATATTATTATATATAAAAAATATTATAAATATTAAAAAATATTATAAATATTATTATAAATATTAAAAAAATATTAATATTATTATAAATGTTAAAAAAATATTAATATTATTATAAATATTTAAAAAAGATTAATATAACAGCATCCCCCATTCACCTATTTCTCAATTAAACAAATTCACATGTACTATGTCAGTACATGTGAGGTCAATGTGTTAATATCGCTGTAATTAATATGTGTGTGTCACAATATAATATGTAATTATCCTCTGTCTCCAAATCATTTCTCTCAGTGTTATTTCTGAATGGATTCGATTCTTTCTTACGTAACACGGTCCAAATGAAGGCTATTGAAAGACTCGACCCGTGTCTGATCGTTTCTGTGTCCTGTGTACCGACGTCGTCTAATCGATACGAAACTATTTCCGCGTCAGAAGCGTCGTCATGTGGTCGTCGCCGGTACGTCGTGTTTGTAACCGCTGGCGGCGGCGGTGATGCCATCAACTGCCCTCTCCTTCTCTCTTTCTTTCGAGCCTCTTTATTTATGTCACGTGCAACGATCCACGACGCATCACGCGAATGATTTTATTCATTAGGTTCGTTGCGCGAATCGCGACGAGATCACGCATGAGAAATTTTTTTTGTTTGTTTTTCTTTTTTTTTTTTTTTTTTTTGGTCTCTTCGCTCCTCGCTCCTCGTCTTTTACGTTCGCTCGGTATCGTTTCGTTTCGATTGCTCGAGTGTAGTAAACAACCGTGCATCTTCAAACACATCCGCTGTTTGTTCTCATTCTATGTTTAGAATTGCGGATGTTTTTTTGTCTCCTCTTGCAGCATCTTCTCTCGTTTTCTTTCCCGTGCTATTCTTTTTTGGTTTGGTCGTCGATTGTTTACTTCGTTGCTGCTTCGAAATAAGTGGAGGATCGATCGAGCATCTATATCTAATCAATTTATAAATTGTGAGATACAATTTTATCGATTTGATTTGTGCGTGTCACGTATAGTATAGTTCAAAATATAGGAATCGATGATGAATTAATAGAAATCTTATTTAAAATTATTAATTCTATTATATCACTTGATAATCACCAAATAATATTAAATTACATTTTCGGACTTGTGACTCGTTTGTATTTAATAAAACAATTTAAAAAACAATCGTACGTCAAATTAATCTCTCTAAGCATATATGTTTAATAGATATTGAAAAAAAAAATAAATATAATAATTAGGTGGCTAAATACTATGTGTCTGTTCATTGAAATTTTAAAACGATTATTATATTATAAATATGTTTCTAACCACGTCGAAAAAGTTTATACAGATCTAGAAATTTAATACTAAAATAAAATTACCAAATCTAGACTTTAATCTAAAAAAAAAGAGACATAAGAAATTCAGGATGCATTCACATTTAAACGTCTATCTCTTAATATATTATTATTATTTAATATTTTATTATTATATTATTAAAAGGTAATAAATTAATATAAATTGATATAATATATTAATATATTACTTAATATATTCTCTTTGAACCCCTTTGAACCTCTACTAATATATTAATATATTACTTAATATATTCTCTTTGAACCTCTACTAAGTAAATCGACTATTTTATCATTGAGTCTATAAAATTATTTCTGCTAAATTCTGAAAGGATTAAAAATGAATATAAAGCATGAAAATGCAGAAAATTAATAGTAGAGAAGCTGCATTCATTAATCGTAATATTGTAATTGTCGAAACACTAACAAATAATTATATCAAGCTCTTAATGAAATTGCAATAAGCGTCCAATTATTTATGCACGATGGTGTACGTTTGATTTGCGTGGATAACCTTTTATTGTCAGAAAAGGAAAGGTCATCTCGTCATGAACTCGGCGTAAATAATTAATCGATCACTTTTAGAAGACACCTAATCAGTGATTTCATACACGGTTTACGCACGACGACGCATACATTTTTGTGCATCGTCACGTAACACGAGGGAAGTGCGCAACATTCGACTCATCGATTTGGCTCAAACTTTCTGCACGTTTTACGTCCTGTATAATAATGCGTCAAATTGGCAACAGCTATTATTAAACATTCTCAAAGAGAGAGAGAGAGAGAGAAAGAGAGAGACAAACAGGACGATAAACAAAATTGTTTTTTTTCTCTTTATTTATTTTGACGTGTGTCGCCTCTAAAACTTACAATTCGTAATGCATTATTTGAAACAATATTTTGTGAATTTTCAGAGAGAAATAAACAGTGTGATACTTATTGATAGATGCATTTTTTACATTCAACAACTTTAAGCAAGTAATATTCTTTAGATTTGATAAACTCGAGTTTTATTTGTAATTGTAAGTGTATTTTAAACTTGCAATAAATTTTATACTAAAAGCGGCTAATGAAATGATAACTAACTTTTAAGATTTTGCCATTAATCAGTTTTATTACAATTGAGTTATGCATGCAGAAATTATACATAATACCGCGTTATTATTAGAAATATTATTATATTTTAGATAATAGTTAAACAAAAGTTTTATTCTATTTTCAATCTTTACTTTTGTATATAGAACATACAGTATTTTACTATCCTCGATTATCTATCTGCTGCTGTCTAGTCGGAAGATTAAATAAATTTGTTTAAAAAATGAAGTCCTCTCTCAGCTTTATTATTCTTGATTTTCGTCATCCTATTTTAAGCCGTAGATAGAAAAAAATGATAGAGTTTTTTCGTACCATAGGTTTCAAATATTCGATTTCTTCTCACACGTCACATTCGTATCGTAAACTTCTTGCGTAGCCTCGAGTATATGTGTGTAACGTTATCACTCGAACTTCTGTAACGCTTAATGAATCGTCAGAGGAACTCGTAATCGCTCGTAACTCGAGACCCTGTGGTGAAATCACGATGCTTACAAAATCTAAGCAGCTGTTAAATAAGTAAAAAATAAGTAAAAATCCCACTAACCATAATAAGTAAAAAATAAGTAAAAAACGAGCACTAGCCATCGTACGTGAACATTTCACGATAGGCAATAATAAATGTTATTGGATTTTCAGATTAATAAAAAACTATTAACCAAAGGTTAATATCTACTATCTTTTTACGGCATTCACATAATTATGAATCGAAATTCTATTTTGAAAAATAATAATCATTTTGAACAAGAGCTGTAAAAATAAATTATTTATTTTGGTTAAAATGTATTTATTATTTTTTTTAGTTTTTAAAGTTGAGTTTGAAGTTTTTTTCATCTTTGAAAAATTTATATTATTCAAACTATATCGTAGATTATGATATAATGGCTGAATAGTTTTAATTGAACGAAGAAAAGCAGAAAGAAAATGATGAAACTCTCCAGTCTTTCATTTTTCACAAGTAAATTTTTGACATTTTCTTCGTCGCTGTTAATCGAGAATTTTAATTATATTTACTCGCTGCTTGAAGTAGCATTAGCTATTTGGAATTCTAATCACTGTTTACGGAATGATAGCGTGTCAGTAGAGGAAGAATTTTTTTTTTATCTGCCTTCTAGATTGAAGAAATCAAATAATCCGAAGGCAAAGAGTTTAAAAATAAAAATAAAATAAAATATATTCGTAAATTTAAGGTGTTTTGGAATATCTAGAAACCATTGCAGAATTAAAAATACTCACTTCGAGAGAAAAACTGCGCACAGTATAATTTGAAACAAAAAGAATTTTCAGAACATTTATTCAGTTCGATGACATCTTTTGGAAATCGTTTCAACAATGACAGAAATAAATTTAATTAATTAAGAAATAAATTAAGTTAAATTTAAGATTTATTATTTTGCTTGTTATTATTTAACAACAAAAGCAACAAAATTATTGATTGTAAGCCGATTGTTGATATTCTGTGCTTAGCGAGCATTTTTTTAAAATTTTAGCTACAATTGGTCAATTTTAAATACTTGTCATAATATTTTATTATATAGGTGCATATGTATAGTTTGTAACAATGTAAAAAAGATAAAATAATTACAAATTCTTTTAAATTTACAATTATCAGAACATTTTCAGTTCATTCTTTTAAATTTAGAATTTTCAGAACATTTATTCAGTTCGATGACATCTTTTGGAAATCGTTTCAACGACGACAGAAATAAATTAAGTTAAATTTAAGATTTATTATTTTGCTTGTTATTATTTAACAACAAAAGCAACAAAATTATTGATTGTTGATATTCTGTGCTTAGCGAGCATTTTTTTTTAAATTTTAGCTACAATTGGTCAATTTTAAATACTTGTCATAATATTTTATATTATATAGATACATATGTATAGTAGACAAAATAATTACAAATTCTTTTAAATTTACAATTGTCATATATACATACATATATCAGTATTATCGGTGTTAAGCAAACGTCGACTTGGCCCGACGTACGCATTCGCTGCACGTGTTATCCAAATTTATCAGTGTTGCAATAGAAATACATAATACGTCGCGCGAGAAGATAATTCGTTGCGTTCTCTACCATGGTTGGGACGTGTATGTACATACGTGGATTTCGCAAGGAACAAACGTAACGAAGCGTGTGAATCACGGTGTTCACGGAGAAACTAAAAATAATAATTTATCTTTGAAACGGAGATTCGGCGAAAAGAACTTTGTGTAGGCGAAACGTGGAAATTAAGATCAAGGTGACGCTAATGT